AGCGGCGCTTTATTGCCCGGCAGTAATGGGGCGGCTCAGATGGCCGACTGCTCCTGCAGGAAGGCGTCGGCGCCGGGCAGCGCGCGCTCGGGCTCGGCCGCCAGCGCCGCCTCGCGCAGCACGGCCACGTGCTCCTCGGCCGCCGACAGCGAGCGGTCGATCCAGTCCAGGCCGCTGCTCTGGTGGCAGGCGCTGCGCGTCACCAGCACCAGGTGGCTCACGGAGAGCAGCAGCGCCGTGGTCCTGGTGGCGGGAGGCGGCGTCAGCCACCCACACCCCTCCTGCCACCGTGTCCCCCCCCCGGCACCGCATCCTGCTGGTACCGTGTCCCCCCCAGCGCCACCCCGGGCGGTTCGCACACGTGTGGCTGAGCCTCGTCCTGCCTGCGCCTCAGTTTCCCCACCAGCAGCACGGGGTTTGGGAGCAAAAGCATCGTGAATTGTCACCCSCTCCGGTGACTTTTCGGAAGCCCCTCCCACCCTCCGCCACCCCAAGAGGGACACCCGGACCCCGGTCACTGCGACCTAACCTGGCGTCCAGCAGCTTGGGATCCAGYGGCGGGTACATGGATCTCACCACGTCGTCCACCCTGTGGGGTGCAGGGGGTTCAGGCGGCAGCGCTCAGCACCCCAGGGTCCCCAGCGTCCCCCCAGCACGGGGGGCTGCAGGTCCCAGCGCTGCCGGCCTCCTCCACGCGCCCGCGGGACGCGGGGGCACCGACGCTGGCAGGGCCATCTCCAGGACCCTGTTGTCACCAAGCGGCCGGTGCCACACGGGCCCGGGGGAGACACTGTCAGTGGAGACACTGACCCAGGGTGTCTCCATCCATTCACCTGGGGCTGATGCGCTTGGCCACCACAATGATGTCCCCCAGGCTGGCGGGTGACTTGACGCGGGCGCCCGAGCCCATGGTCATGGCGACGAGCTTCTCGGTGAGTGTGTGGCAGATCTGTGGGGCAGAGTGGCGGGAGGCACCACCATGGACCCGCTGGCACCGCCATGGACCCCCCTGATACCACCACGGGCCCCCTGGCACCACCATGGACCCGCTGGGACCACCATGGACCCCTGACATCACCACGGAGTCCCCAGCACCACCATTGCCCCACTGGCATGACTACGGGCTCCCAGCACCACCATGGGCCCCCCGGCACCACCACGGAGCTCCTGGCACCACCATGGCCCCTTGCACCACCATGGACATCTCAGGCACCACCACGGACCCTTGGTACCAAGGCCACCCCAGCACCACCACAGACACCCCCTGGTACCAACACAGACTCCCCTCAGCGCCACGGCCCCCCGGCACCAGCCCGGCCCCCGCGGCACCCCGTCAGCAGCACGGCCGCGCGGCGCCAGGGCCCACCTTGAGGATGGCGATGCAGTGCGAGACGAGGCCCCTGCGGATGCAGCGGAGGGATGAGCGCGGCCCCCAGCCTCGAGCGGCCCCCGGCCGAGGGGGCCAATCCCACCCCCCAGGGCGCTCCTGGTTTGCAGGGCCAGGAAGCGAYGTGTCCCAAGGGGAGGTGACCCAAGGGAGGGTCCAAAGGGATTTGGCACCGATGTGGGGTGCGAGATGGGGCAGGTGGGGAGACGGGAGCGCGTGGGCTTACGAGGCGTCCTCGATCCAGTGCTCGTTCTCCAGGATGGCCTCGATGTGGGGGTTCGTGATGACCACGTCGTCCAGCTCCAGCTCCGAGGGCTCCGACTGCGTCTCCATGGCCCCCATGAGGTCCACGATGGGCCTGCGGCGGGGACACGGGGCCGCCTCAGCGCCCGCTGCCACCCGCCTCGTGTCAGCGCCGGGGGACGGCGCCACGTGAGGCCACCACGACAGCGGGGCCACCGCGCCATGCGTGCTCGGGGCCCCAAGCTCTGCCACCCCCCGGCCCCATCCCGGTGCAGGCTGGCGCGCGGCGCTCACTTGGTGTCGTAGTGGTGCAGCGGGTCCTTGGGGCGGCAGTAGCGCTGGCGGCAGACCACAACGAGTGCCACGAAGGAGGCCAGGAAGATGGTGGCCAGCACGCCGATGGCCACGATGACGACGGTCTCCATGGCTGCGGCTCGCTCAGGCGCGACGCTCCATGCGGGAYGTGGGGCTGCGCGGGGAGGTGCAGGGCGGGCGTCGCGGCACGCGAGCCGTCCCACGAGGCCGGCGGGACGCGGTGCCCACCCCGGCCCCACCACTTCTTGCCCGGTTTCCAGCCGTTTCCCGGATGCCCGGAGCTGCCGTGACCTCCCCCTCAGTTCTCCTGCCCAAGCTCCAGTGCTGAACCCCACTGTCGCCTTCCCYGAAAACAGGAGCAGGCAGAAAGGTGCCGCGGGGGCACATGGGGAGYGGGCACTGTCCCCAACCTGGCACTGTGGCCACGGGGCGCGTGAGGAGGGTGCAGGAATTGTGCTCAAGCCGTGGAGATGCCCAGGGCACAGGACACAGGGGGCTGCCCACAGGACAGTCCATATGGGGCGTGCGGACACCCACAGCCGGGTCCACACGGGGCTGTGGGACCCCCAGGGCCGGGTCTGTATGGTGGGACGGGACACCCACAGCCAGGTCCACACGGGGCTGCAGGGACCCCCAGCGCCGGGTCCATATGGGGTGCAAGGACCCCAGACACGGGGCTGTGGGGACACACAGAGCGCAGCCCTCGTGGGGACGCGGCAGCCCTGGGCTGCAGGGGCTGCCCCGGCGCCAGCCCGGCAGTCCCTCGGGACATCCCTCCAGTCCCGTGCCACAGGGTGCCATCCTGTGCCGTCCCGTGCCACCCTGTCCCGTCCCATCCATGCCACCCGTGCCACCCTGCCCCGCGCCACCCTGTCCCGCGCCGTGCGCGCTCCCTGCTGCGGCCGAAGCCCCGTCCCGCGGGCCCGGCCCTCGCTACCTGGCCGCGCCGCCGCCGGGGCCGCCGCCACTTCCGCAGCCGGGCGCGGGGCGACCTTTGCCCGGCGCTCGCTCCTCCCTCCCCGCGGGCCCCGCAGCCCCCTCGTGCCCCGGGGGCGCCTGGCCCCGCAGCCCCCTCGTGCCGAGGGCGCCCGGCCCGGCCCCGGGCCCCGTTCCGCCCAAGCCGGGCCGTCCCGCGCGGGGCGGGCGCCGCGGGGGCCCCGTCCGGGCCCGCTCCCCGCTCCCCGCCGCGCTCACCTCCTTCCAGCCGCCGTTCCCACCGGGATTAGCGCATTAACGCCCCGCACCCCCGTCCCAGTCCTTCCCTGCTCCTTTCCAGGGAGGATTTCGGCCCCTCAAGCCGATGCTGGGCAGTAACCCCTTGCTGCCCGCTCCGGGGGCAGCGCCCCGGGGCCCTGCAAGGCTTTCGGGGGGCGACGACGACTCCGGGGGCACCCACAGGGTCTCGCAGAGTCCCGGCGCGGGGGGAACTTCTGGGGGTCCCGCAGGGCCCCGACGGGGGGGGATCGCTCGGGGG